CCCGAGAATATCCTGATCGATACCTTGGGCACGGTGAAGATCATGGATTTCGGGCTGGGCATGCCCGTGCGCGCTGGGGTAGCTATCGAAGCGCCGGGTTATCTCGCCCCTGAGCAGCTGGAGGCTCGAGAGCCGGACTCCCGGGCCGATTTCTTCAGCTTCGGCGCGGTGGCGTATTCCATGCTGACGGGCAAGCTGCCCTATCCCGGCTCGAGCGCCGACGAGATTCGACGCAGGATGGCCGAAGGCGCTCCCGAGGTACCGACCTCTTTGGTGGCCGAAATTCCACCAAAGATGGAAGAGATCCTCTTGAAATGTCTCCAGATTGCCCCGGATCAGCGCTACGAGTCGGCCAATCAGCTGGCAAATGACTTGGAAGACATCACCGTCTGATCGGCGAGCCCTACCTCACCCATAAAACTCGCATTTTCTGCGGCAGCTTGCGCAGGAAATCCAGCTCTGGCGTGTTTCAAGAAATGTGACGCAGTCTGCCGAAGCCATGACGGACCCCGATCTTCCGATTTTGCTCCGAGTTGCCGATGGTGACGTGGAGTCTTTCGGGGTGCTCGTCGAACGGCACCAGCCGCGTTTGTGGCGGCTGTGTGAACGCATGTTGGGCAGCGCCGAGGATGCTAGCGAAGCCACCCAAGAGGTCTTTCTCAAGGCCTATCGTGGGTGCTCGACCTTTCGGCCCAGCGCCAAGGTGTCCACCTGGCTGTATCGGATCGCCGTCAACCATTGTTTGAACCGGCTGCGGCGTCGCAAGCTGGCGAGCTTTTTGTCGTTGGCGGACTTGGCACCGAAAGCCAGGGGTGAGCCGCCCGAAGCGGAATGGGATCCGGCGGATTCCGGGCCGGATGCAGAGCAGCGGCTGGCAGACCGCCGACGCTGGGCCGAGGTTAAAAAAGCTATCGATCGGCTGCCTCTGAATCAGCGATCGGTCTTGGTGTTGGCGAAGCTCGAGGGACTGTCCTATCGAGAGATTTCCCAAACTTTGGGGATCACGGAAGGCGCGGTAGAGAGTCGTTTGGTTCGTGCCATGCGACGGTTGCATGCCCTCGACATTCAACAAGGGGTTGGACATGGCGGTTAGAGATCGGGAAATGAAGCTGCTGATGCGCTATTTGGCCGGGGAGCTCGATGCGCCGGCCCAGCGGCAGCTCGAGCAGCGGCTCGAAGAGGATGCACAGCTACGCGCAGCCCTCCAAGACTTGCGGTCCACGTG